GGCCAGAGAGAGACAGAGGGACAGATGAGATTCTCAGAGACACAGACTGTCCAGCGGAGAGCCAAGTACCCATGGACCGCGATCGTCAGAGAGGGTCACAGACATAGGGGCTGTGGTAAAGAGCAGACAAACTTGGGATATGGGACAGAGAGCCCACGTCCCACAATGGAAGAGCTGGAAAGAGGACAGGGGGTGAGGGGAAGGGAGACGGAGCCCACACAGACTGCGTTAGGGCTGGTCCTGGGGCGAGGGGTGGCCAGGAGAGCCCTGGGGCACACTCTCCAGAGCTCTGTCCCTGGCTGGTGCCCTGAGCGCACCGGCACACCCAGCTCGCCACTGTCTGTCCCAGCCGCAGGCACTCTGCCACGACTCTCCGGAAGGACCCTCCTGGCCAGGTGTCCCTGTGGACCCTCACCCCACTTCTCCCAGCCCCTGCCCCAGTAGTGACCACTGAGTAAGATGCACCAACGAGGGCGGTGTCAGTTCTCTGCGGACACCCTCTGGCCTGCGGGGGGCACAGAGGGGGAATGGGTGGGCAGACTGGGGGAGTAGTGGACCTGGGCCCCGGGAGGGGCCGGCCACCCACACCCAGGTCAGCGGGGTGCCGTGGTCTCCCCGGACACACACTCACACCCAAGGGCACCCTCAGAAGCTCACCCCCAGGAGACTTGGTTCACAGCCACTCATTCACCCCAAGAAACGCACCCAGAGATGGGCACCCTGTACTCAAGCCTGAGTGTGTCATACTGGCGGGTTCCACCCCTAGTCCCAGCCTGGGACCAGGCGCCCCCACCTCCCAGGGCTGTGAGTACTGCCGCACCCAGCACGGGTGGCCTGCTGCTGCGGTTTCTCCACCTCACGCCCCCAAACTCCCCTATCTCCCCAGGGAGCCCCTGGCTGTCCCGGACAGCCTCCTAGGCTGGGGAGGGTACTGAGGGGCTCATGGCACTCGTAGGGACAGAGGTGGCAGTTTGGGGTCCTTTCTGCAACTGCACACAGGGCAGCCTGTGAGGACCCACCCCTGCAGGGACTCAGAGGGGAGAAGTGACTTACGTAGGGTCCCCCCAGCCCCGCCCACATCCCCTCACAGTTCTCCGCCTGGCTGCTGGGATGAGGGGAAGCCGCCCTAGAAGGTCCTTTCTCGCAGCGTGGGAGTGGAGTGGGGCACGAAGGCATCGAAGGGCGTGAGCTTTGACGCTTAGCAAGTGTTGAAAACCAAAATTCAACTGAGTAGATGGTAAAGATCTCACTGGCTCCATTCAGCGATCCCTGCATTGAGCAGCATCCAATCCCGCACAGAGAAAGGGGCTCCGAGGCACTCAGTGCAGTAAAAGGCATTACGGGTAGAGGGGCGGGAACAAGGAAGTTCCTAAGCAAAGCAAGCAGCTTATTTAGTGCAAGGTTAATTACTGCCTGTCTTATTCTTTTAAGATTATATTTATTTTTAGACAGAGGGGAAGGGAGGGAGGAAAACACCTATGTATGGTTACCTCTCGCACACCCCCTACTGGGGACCTGGCCCGCAACCCAGGCATGTGCCCTGACGAGGAATCGAACCCCCAGCCCTTTGGCTCACAGGCCTGCACTCAATCCACTGAGCCACACCAGCCAGGGCAGTTACACCAGCCAGGGCAGTTACTGCCTGTCTTCAGCGCTTGGCAGGGGTCTAACAAACGCTGACCCGGTGATTCCTGATTGACGGGTTTACGTACGGTTCCATTTCTGGGAGGGCTGCAGCTGTCGTCAGTAAGTCGCGGTTCCTGTTGTCTTGTTTTTGACTCGAGCGCCGCACAGTCTGCAGACCCAGTTTCCTCACCTCCGGTGGGGTCCACAGCGCACCCTCTAGTGTGGACCTGGCTGGGCACCGGGCGTTGCACGGCGAGCGCTCAGCAGCAGTGACAGCGAGTGTTTTTTTTTTTAATGTTTTATTATATTTTTATGCTCTCTTGAGGACATTTTTTTCATTGCTTTTAGAGAGAGGAAGGAGAGAGAGAAACATCGATGTGAGAGAGAAGCGTCAATTGATTGCCTTGCGCACGCCCCTGGACCAGGGATCCTATGCACCCAGGCGGGGGATCGAACTCACAACCTAGGTATATGCCCTGACCGGGAATGGAACCCACAACCCTTCAGCTACAGGATGACACTCCAACTGAGCCACATCGTTCTGGGCAGCAAGTTGTTCTTGACCTTGTCCCAGGCCCTACGGGGAGAGCCTTATGGGCCACGTCTCACTTAACCCAGTGAAGTAGGAGTCATGATTCTCTGCCTTTTGCAGATGAAGAAAGTGAAGCTCGGGGAGGTGGTATTACTTGCCCAAGGTCACACAGCTGGTGAGCGGTGGAGCTGGGCTCTTCCTTCTGCCACCGGGTGTGCGTATGTGCCCAGAGAACAGCGTGGTTCTGTGCCCGCTCTCAGACTGCCCGGGGCTAGGCGCTGGCTGCGATGGGTTTGCCTTGTGGGTGCCGTGAGAAAGTCAGGGTGGGGCAACTGCAGCTCAAGCCTGGGGCTCTGGGGTTTGGGGCCAGCAGGCTGGCGGGGCAGGGCAGTGCTGCTCTGTCCTGCTCTGTCCTTGCCAGGAACTCCTGCAGGTCACCAGAGGTGGAGCTGAGTCAGGTGGGGCGGGGCGAGGAGACTCACCCCATGGCTGGGCTGCCCGCCCAGCTCCACTGGGCACCCATAACAATAATGAGGGCATAGAGCACTCTTGGGGCTGGAGTGAGAGCAGCTATTATCCCATTACCTGTGGGAGGAAACTGAGGCTCAGAGTGAGAGGGCCTTTCCCAGGCAGAGACTTTGCAAAGAGTCCACGGCTGATTTCTAAGTGCCTGGGGCAGTGTGGGGATGGGGGGAACCTCTGCCGTGGGTGGCAGATGGAGACCATGGGCCCTCCCCCCTCTCCTGTCTCCTCAGCTGACCTGGGCCAACGTACACAGCTGGCTGCCATCCGAGCTTTGGTGCCCCCAGGGCTGAGTGCTCGTCCGCTTGCCTTCTCTGAGCCCCTTTCCCGAAAGCTTTGTAGAGAGCTGGCCTGCCAGGCCCACCGAGTGTGCTTGCACAGGTTGCACGCTGCACAAAGGTACCCGGCAGGGTTGCACACGCCCAAAGGAGCGGGGTCTTGTCTGACCGGGCACCGCAAGGGCTTGTGCAGCCCTGCGGGCACGGAGCGTGCAGACAAGCGCTCTCACGAGGAGGGAGCTGGTCTTCTGGCCTCACGCCTGGGCTCCGTCTCCCTGTGTGGACGGGTTGCTAAGAGCACCTGTTCAGAAAACCCTTCCCTGAGTAGGAAGAGCAGTGACTCAGCTCCACCTGGAGGGGCCCTGGTGGAGACCACCTGCCTCTAGGGTCTATATCCCAGGGGACCCACTGCCACCGTGGCCCCCCTCCCAGCCTCCTGCTGGGCGCCTGGGCCCGGCCGTGGCTGTGCCTATCCTGGTCTCAGACTCTCCCAGAAGAAGAGCTGAGCCCACAGAGGGCCAGGAGTTTGGGGGGATTCCAGGGGCAAACCCCCCAACCCTGCCCACTACTGTGCCTGAGATCCCATTAGCAGCCTGGCTCTAAGGCTGACTGACGCATGGTCCGGAAGGCACCGAGGCCACGCTCCAGCCAGCTCCGGCCTCTCTGTGACTCTGGGCGGGGTACTCAGCCTGCCAGCCTCTCCATGTCTGCCTTTGTCTAATGGGACTGTCGGTCCCACCTGCAGAGAGAGGGCGTGGGAGGTAGGGCGCGGTCTGAGAAAAGGGGCCAAGGCCTGCAGGTGAGCAGGCTATTACTAGTGCAGCTTCCCTAGTGGGGTGGGCTCTCAGCGTTCTTTCCCCTCAGGGGCCCGGCTGCTGCTCCACACTCAAAGGGGCTGGGCCCAGGCCAGGGCAGGCGGAAGGAGGGAGAGGGAGCAGGAGAGAGGGCGCCCCCAGGAGGGCAGACTGAGGTGGGGGCCCCGTGGTAGGGGGCAGGCTCATGGCTACCAGTGTCGGAATAGGGGTAAACCTGGGGTCTGCCGTGGGCAGTGCGGCCTTGGCCGAGTTCCCTCCCCCGGAGCCTCAGTCCCACCAGGAAACCGCAGATCTGGCTTTGGGCCTCTGCGATGCCTCCTCCAGGCTCCGTGGGAGGGAGCTGCCCAGTCCAGGGCCCTGCCAGGCACACAGTCGGTAGCACACACATCCAGGTATGGGGAGCCCATTCCTGGAGCCTGTGGCCCTGTTGTTAGAACACTCTGATGGGTGGCCGGTGGCCGGTGGCCGGTGGCACAGCCATTGGGAAGGGCCCTCGGACTCCTTGACCAGTTAAGCTGGACTCCATATGCTTTCTCTCCCAAGTTCTGACATGCCCACCCACCCTCCACCTTCCATCCTCCGGGAGGGCGCCCAGGGCAGGCGGCAGGGCGGGCATGGGCGCCCAGCAAAGCAGGTGTGCGCCGGAACCAGGCCTGTTGTCCTGGCAATGGCTCCTGTCCCAGGCACCCACGGGGGCAATTAGTGAGTGTGGGCGGGGGTTTCCATGGTGGCAGCCCCAAGGGGTTGCTGCAGGGCTTCAGGAGGGGACAAGGGCCGGCGGGACCTTTCTTCTTTGTGCTGGACACACTAGGCCTTTGTCCCCGCCTGGCCGGCCTGGCTCTCTGTGCAAACAGGACCCGAATCACGGGTGGGGTACGGACTCGGGTTGGAGCCACCCTCCCCCGGGGGCGGTTCCTGAACCAGACTTGGGAAGAGGCAGAACAGGGGATGAGCCCCACTTCTGGGCCCAGCATCCACTTGGGGATCCCTCTTCCCACAGGTGCTATCTGCTCCTAAGAGGCTGAGCAAGAGAGCTTAGCATTGGGTCCTGTTGCTGGTAAACACCTTCCAGCAGCCAATGGGCAGCCTTGGTGTGTCTGGTGGACCCAGGGCTGGCCAAGGAGAGGCAGGGCTGTGGGGGGAGGTGGGCTGCAGGGAGCGGGGGCGGGGGCAGCTGGTCTAGGGTCAGGGATGGAGGGAGGACATTTGATCCAACTCCAGCCAGGGTTCTGCTCAATCAGACTTTATTCCAGGCCTCCCGGGAGTCCCTCGGGGCCCCCTAGCCCAGCTGGCTGCCTAGACCCCCGTGGTGTTTCAGCGTGCTGCTTCTGGGCTAATGGTGGGCTTGGGCCCCCTCACCCCCATCTGTGACCTTCCTCCATCCTGGGCCTGGCATAGTTTGCGGTGAGGAACGAGTGAAGAAAACAGGATGAAGTCCGTAGAGCTAAGCTGACTCAGAACGGCGTCAGTATCGCCGGGCTGGCCCAACGGCTTCGTGAAGACACCATTGACTTTAGCCTGAGGACTTAAACTTCTGAACTTTTCGTTTGCACGTCAACGCCTGGAGATTTGTAAATCCCTGTACACGGGACTTAGGAAAAAATGAAGAACTTAGGAAAGAATGCTCGCGTGCCCAGACGGCCTGACGTCTGGAACACGGCCGTCTCCTGCCGACCCAGAGCCAAGAACGCAGGACGATTCCTCTCCAGGCCGTGCTTTGTACTCCAGAGCTCTCTGCCTTCGTCCCTCTTCGGGACACTCTGGGCACTGCCTAGTCGGGTTCCTGGTTTGCAGACCCTAAGCATTTTGAATAAATCGTCATCATGTTGGTAGCAGGCACCTCCTGGCTCATGGACACTTGGTGACAGAGAGGGCCTCTGAGCCACTAAACCCCAGCGACGAAGTGCGGTGCCCGTCTGCGAGGTGGCGTCAGCCGGTCGGGGGACTGGGGTCCATGGTAGTGGGACCCTCAGAATCGGGTGTCCAAGAAGGAGGTGGAGCCGCGATGGGACCTGGGGGGGCCCTCAATAGGGGGGCCCTTTGACCGAGTCAGGAGCCCGTGGAAAGTCTTGCCTCGGGTCTGGGGCTTGCGCCGTGGGGGCCTGGGCTCTTCCGGGGGCTGCACCACGATGCGGGGCACCTCGGGCCTGGTGCTTGCCCGCGCCCCTGCCAGCTGCTGGGCCTCAAAGATGGCTTGGGCCCCGGCCAGACGGGCCTTGGGCCGTGGGGGCGGCCCGGACGTGGACGCTGGCAGCTGGGCTAGTTGGGTCTTGATCTCCCGCTGTAGGTCCTGCTCCGACAAAGCCACGCCGTGCACCTGTGGGGAGCGGTGGGTGCTGAATCTGCCTGGACTGCGGGGAGGCAGGAAGTCCGGAGGCCCCCACGGGGCAGGCCGCGCACACAGCCCCAGGAAGTGGCTGAGGGCTGCGGGGCGGCAGACAGCCTCCCTAAGGGAAGCCATAGCGAGCCGCTCGAGGCCTGGGGCTTTCACATTCGCTGCTGCTCAGAGGACAGGAAATGAGCGCTGGCTCTCACTCTGACTTCCAGCTCTGGGACTCAGTTTCCCCAACCATGCCTCAGGGGAGGGTGGGCAGGGCACCCACCTGGGACATGAAGACCTCCTCCTGCAGTTGGGCAGGGGGGATGGCTCGAAGGGCACCGAGCGTCTCCAGGAGCCCCGGACAGGCCAGGCGCTGTTCTGCGGTGCCCAGTGCCAGGCGCACCAGCGTCAGCCCCGTGCGGAACAGCACCTTCACACCTGCGGAGGGGGCTCACTCAGTGGGGGCCGGCTCCGCCTCTCCTCCGCTCTGCACCTGGACGTGCCCTGCCTGCTGGGGTCCTTCTGCCCACCCGAGACTCTACAGCCACAGCCCAGCCAGCAGCAAGGGCTGACAGGAGGGGTGCAGTTCAGGGCCACTGGTGAGTGTGTCTCAGCGGCCACAGATGTGCCCGGGCACAGCGGCCCGCCAGGAGCCAAGAGCAACTGACAGCGTCAGACCAAGCCTCCTCTCTCTGGGCCTCAGCTCCTTGTCCCTGTGAGGAAGGGCCGGGGTGGAGGGTGGCTGCCCATTAAGGCCCTTCCAGGTCGGATCTGTGACCTTCTGGTTCCGGAGAGTTCTGGCCAGAGCCCTGCATTCCTAAGCCAAGAGCAGAGTGCACACAGGCGCAACCGTGGGTCATCCTCAGAACCCCCTCAGGCAGCCTTAGGTCTGCTGAGCAGAGCAGCCAGGGGACCAGAGGGCTGGCAACAACTGTTACTTGTAAAGGGACGACAGCGACTACTGATGTCGTCTTTTTGAAGTGGAGCCTAGGGCAGCACTCGTGTCCAAGAGGAAGGCAGGGATAGCTCAGCCACCCCATCAGGCCCCACCCCGCCCGGCCCTGGAGGCTGGAGGCTGGAGGCTGGAGGGGCGGTGACCCATGACCCACGGATGGTGACTTGGACACCCATGGCCGGAGCTCTAAGCCAGCCTGCAGCCAACTCGGCACACAGCAGGTGTTCAATAAATGGACTGATTGATTCCTACCACTTTTTTAGGTGCCACTGCTGGACAGCTGCTAGGGAACAGAAGGCGGGTGGGTTACTGATGGAGGAACTGGGGCACAGTCCAGCTCGGCCACACTTGGCCTGGCCCAGGCACCCACCTCTGTCCATGCCCGTGCCCCCAGGTCATCTGTAGCCTGGACGCTGCAGCAGGCTCCTGCTCGGGCTCCGAGCACGCACCTGTCCCTACATATCTCCCCTTCCACCTGCCACTGCCAATGGCAGGAGCATCTTTAAAAGCAGCAGCCCCTCCCTGCCGTTCCCCTGACTCTCACTCACATCCCTTTGCTTTATTTCCTTCATGGCACTGGTGATACTCTATAAATATCTTGTAAACTTCGTTACAGTTGCCTTCCATCCCCGCCCCCCAGAATGTCAGTCTGTCCATTCAGGTGGCCCCAGTGTCCAGGGCAGCCCCTGGCACCAGTGGGCAAGCACCAAGTAGGCACTTGGGCTCCAGGAGGAGGGCCTCGGCCGTTGGCGGTGGCCCATGGTGCCAGTGCCTGCGCCCCCGCACGGCTGGGATCTCCCCAGCTCCTGCCCCGTCTACCTGGAGGGAGCCTCCGTGGCTCCAGCCTGCCTCCAGGCAGAGGCTGCCCTCCCTACAGGACAGGGGCTGCCATTCCTTACACTGGGGGGCGGGTGGCCTAGGGGCCGGGCTGTTTTCCCAGAGCCGGCAGGGTGCCCTTGCCCTCAGCACACCCCGGCACCCAGACTCAGGGCCAGGATTGGCAGTGGCAGCTGGGGCGGAGCGGAGCTGGCAGGCCACTCCTTGAGCACACTGATTGATTACCCAAGGCTCCCCACCTTCCCAGGGCCCCCACTCACCCTCACTGAGGAAGGCGTCCCAGACACGCAGCACCGTAGGGAAAGGCAGGGAGCGAGCGAAGAGGCACAGGAACCACTCGGGCAGGTAGAGCAGGGGCCCGACGCCCACCTGCTGCAGGTGCTTGTGCACGCGCGGGAGCAGCCGCCGCAGCAGGGCCACGAACACCTCGGCGTCCAGCCTCACAGCCTCCTGCAGCCGCGTCCATCAGCACCGCCCCCCAAAACCCAGGCTCTGCCCCGCTCTGGTCCCAGGCCCCCATCCGCCTGCCCAGCCCCTCCTGCCGTGCCCCCTGCCCAATCCCAGCCTCTCACCATGTGGGGCCCATAGTAGCCAGGCAAGTAAAGCTCGCAGATCTGCACCAGGCACCAGAAGGCCTCCTGAGGGCAGAGCACAGGTCATGTGTGCCCACCACAAAGGGGACCGCAGGGCGGGCAAGGGGGCGGCTCTGGACACCATCTACAGTGACTCTGGAGCCCGGGGGCTCTTACCCAAAGCCACCCCGTGCTCTGGCAGGTCTCGCCTGTGGGTTTAGGCAGTTGGAAGTCACAAGGTTCAGGGGATTGAATTTGAGGGTCACAGGATTGGGCTCACTGGGCAAGGATTGGCAGGATCCCAAAGTTCAAGTTTAAAGTTCAAGTTCTGGGTTCTTAGGGTCATTGGGTCAGGGATCATGATCACAGGGTTCAGAATCAGGAGTCATGAGGTCAAGTGATAACATCCAGACCCTGAGATCACTGGGCAAGGGGCAAGGGTCAAGGGTCCCACGTTCCTGGAGTCAAGGTTGCAGGGTTTGGAGGTGGCCGAGGCTGGCAGCAATGGGGTCACTAGGAGGGGAGTTGGGAAACAAGGACCCCAAGTCCCCGAGGTCAGACTTCCTGGGGTCAGGCGGTCATGCGCCCAGGGTACAGGATTACTGAGTCCCAAGATCTCTAGGGTTGGGGCTCAAGGATCCCAGATACCTGGATTCAGAGTCCCTGCGGTGTGGGGCCACAGGTCACAGGGGTTGGGGGTCAGGATCTTGGGTCCCTAGAGCAGGGCGGAGGGCACTCACCTCTGGGGGCAGGTGCATGAGCAGCACGGCAGCAACGGGGCCCTGGGCCTGGCAGTAGCCCTGTTCCGGCCGGTACAGGGTGTAGGCCTTGAGAACCTGCAGGAGGCCCTGCTGCCTGCGCCAGAAGGACCCCATTAGGGGGCGGGCCCTCAGCCTCCCCTTCCCCGCCTGCTGTCAACCTCTGCCCAGGTCTCACCGCTCCCCACCCTGGCCTTGCTGTGTCCCCTGAAATGCAAAACATAAAGCCAGGGTGGGGAGGGGTGGCTGGACCAACAATTGGGGTTGTGAGACTGGGGGTCCCTGGGCATCACTGGCCTCGTACCCATGACCCTGGGGTGACACAAACATCTCGTGCAGAGGGAACTGGCGGTGCAGGTCCCTGCCGATGGTCTCCATCCACTGTGGGTCTCCTGGGGCCTCAGCCAGTTCCTGTGGGTGTGTAGAAAGCTAGGGGTGAGGGCTCAGAGGGGCAAGGGGCTGTAGGCAGGGGAGGTGGGACCCCCTGTCAACTCCTTTACCTGGTAAGTACCCGGGCTGTTCTTCTGGCACACGTGGGCCCCGCACAGCAGGGGCCAGCACCGAGCACGCAGGGCTGAAGGGATGCCCTTCCGGCACTGCATCTTTACCTGCAGGCGAGGCCACGGTCCCGTTAGGCCGACCGGGCCAGCCTCCCCTGCTCCTCTTGGCAGACACCACACCCAACTTTTCATCAGGCAAGGGCCACTTTCAGTGATAGGGAGAAAAGGCAGGAGGTCCTGGGACCCAGGCCTGGAGGATGTGGCTTGGGCCTGGACCACAGCAAAGGAGGATGAGCCACAGAGGCCTGGGTGGAGTCATGGCCCCGCTCACCTTCTTGTACCGCCGAGACATGGTCTTCTCCCAGTGCGAAGTCATCTCCACCCACTTCATCTCCCTCTGGCGGATGAGGTCCACGGAAGGGCAACCGGGCCTGGGAGCACATGGCACCGCATCCAGTGCAGGGCAGCTGTTACCTAGAGCCCACGTCTGCCTCTCTCATGCAACCTGGGTGGCCACTGGGGGGTGACCTGTCACCCAGAAGTTGCCAGTGGTTGCCATGGGGACAGGAAAGGATGTGGCTCTGATGTGGGCAGAAGCAGGAAAGACTGAAGGGGGTGTGTAGGTGTGAGCTGGGGGAGGGACTGGTTGGCAGTCCCCCGGGACTTGGACACAGACAACTCCTAGAGGAAGCTGGGTGGACAGAGCCCTGTGCTAGAAGCCAGGAGTCCTGAGTCTGAGTCTGGTTCTGTCACTGAGCTGCTGCGTGACCTCAGGCAAGTTCCTTTGTGTCTCTGGACTTGTTATACTGCCTGTATATTGAGAAAGGGGGTGGGGTGGGGGTGGGGGAAAAGAATGTGTATTCTATGATTTATATTTGGGGTTCTTGGGCCAGAGATGAAAAGGGGAAGGATTTTTGTCTCCAAGGGTAGGTGCAAACAAACCCTTGGAGGTCAGGGGTAAAAGAAACACACTTGGACACCTTACCCCAACCCTGCCATCCTTAGGGCTCTACCTGGAGCCTGAGGAGGGGTAACACTGGCTGAGTCTCCAGACCCTCCCAGGACCCTTGAGTTTGGGCCTCACTCTAGAATTCAGCCCTCAGCCCCCATCGTAAATCCCAGCACCCTTCCCCACTTACCCTGGCTCTGCTGAGCTGCCCCCAATGAAGCCATAGCGGTCAGCCTGGCGATATGGGCCTGGTCCACTCAGCTCTGAGTCAGACCCCAGAGAGCTGGAGTCATCTTGCAGCTCACAAGGCTGTACCAGGTCCTCACCCAGGGCCTGGGCCATGGTGCCCCAGACCCCCAATACAACAGGCTACAAGATGTGGGGAGAGCCAGTATGAGAGGCAGCTCCCGGCCAGCCTGGGGCCCAGGCTCCCACGCGCCAGTCCCCAGCCTCAGAACCTAGATGCGGGGTCAGAGGGAGGAGGTTTCAGGATTTTCACCAGGACCCTTCTGTGCCGTCTTCTGGAGGGGGTTAGGCCCTGAAGTGGCAAAAAGGCCAAGTTCTATATGGAGACTCAGCCCCAGGCCCGGCCCCTGTCCCCGGTAGCCCAGCTTACCTCCCTGCTGCACCTCACCTCCTCTCACTTCCTCCCCAGCCACAGCTTCCACCACCCACTGGGGGCCCCTCCCCAGTGTGCATGGGGGGGTCACCCCTTCCTCTAAGAGGCTCTTCCGGCCTACCCCGGTCCCCTGGGCCACGGGCTCCTCCCACCCACCCGGAGACCAGGAGGCCTGTGTTCTTGCACTGGGTGTGACGGGGCTAAGACCTGCCAGAGGCAGCGGGGACAGGCTGCCTCTAGTTTTGAGGACACTGGCATGTAACACACTCACTTCAGGGAAGATATATTTATTTTGTAAAGATTTTATCTTTAGAGAGAGAGGAAGGAAGGGAGAAAAAGAGAGAGAGAACCATCAGCATTCAAGAGGTACATCAGTCAGTTGCCTTTTGCATGCCTCCAACTGGGGACCTGGCCCACAACCCAGGCATGTGCCCTGGCTGGGAATTGAATCAGCGACCTTTTGGTTCGCAGACCAGCACTCAACCCACTGAGCCACACCAGCCGGGGTGGAATTGTGGTTATTTAATGTTTGCTCTTTACAAACTAATACTTTTAACATAAACAAAATGCAGCATTTTTATGCAACTCAAAAGGCAACGGTGGTGCTATAAACATTAACTAAGATTGCACCACAGGCAGCCTGAGCCAAAGTCGTCCCCGAGTTCTGCCATCTGGATCTAGTCTGCGCCCAGAGGGACCGCAGAGATTCAGGAGGTAGAGTCCTCAGTGAATGTAAGACCAGCCCCTTGATAGCTCTAGGTCTCCTTTTCTGCACTTGAAGGACTGAACCCAGTGTTTGGGGAAGCGATTATCAAGGTGCTCACACCCGGTGGGAGCGGCTGCTTAGCCACTGAAAGAGAAAAACAACTTCCTCAGTACTTCCGGTCTCCTATTTTCCGAAAGAGGCTGGGTAATTTCACAGGGGCTGAACCAAACTCTACCCCCTCCCACAAAATCCCGCCCAAAAACGAGGCCCCGCCCCAGATAACCACCGCCCCGCCCCGCCCCGCCCCGTCGCCGAGGCCCCGCCTCCCGGGGCGCCATGGCCGCTGCGCCCGGGGTCCAGCGGAGGCGCTATGGAGCTGGGGCAGCGGGCCGGGAGCGAATGGGGCGGGGCGGACCGGGGAGGGCGGAAGGAGCGCCAGGCCGGAAGAAGGCGGTGGAGGGCGGGAGGCAAGAGCGGGTCCGGAGCTGCTGGGCCGGAGCGGCAGAGCCGCCATGTCCGACAGCGAGAAGCTCAACCTGGACTCTATCATCGGGCGCCTGCTGGAAGGTTGGCTGGGGGCAGGGGAGGTCGGCGCCCGCCGCGCCCTGACCCCCGGCCCGGCCCGGAAGTGGCGCGCGGGCGCGCCTGCCCCTCCCAGGGCCAGCTTAGACGGGGCGGGGACGGGCCCGCGATCCCACGGACGCAGCTGCCCCCCACTTGCGACACATCTGGGAGTCTGGAGCTGCTGGGGCACGGGGAGCAGCCCCCCTCTCTTGGGCTGGGGTCGCACGGGGTTGGCCTGGTTTCTTGGAGCGAGGAAGAAACCTGAGAAACCTAGCCACCCCCCACACCCCGGGAAAGGGTCCTGCGCTGTGGGGTTCGGGTTGGCAGCTCCTGCCTCAGAAGACCCTTAGAGCGTCTTGAGGATAGTTAGGGAGGTTGCGTCCTGTCCTGGGAAGCTCAGCAGCACCATCTGCCCCGGGCAAGGAGGGGTCCACGAGGCCCTGGCACCTCCAGAAGTGCCCATGGGTCACCTGTGTCGCCCACCCTCCTCCTGCTGGAGGGACCAGGGTCCTGACCCCCATTCTGCCTCCAGTGCAGGGCTCGCGGCCTGGAAAGAATGTACAGCTGACAGAGAACGAGATCCGTGGTCTGTGCCTCAAATCCCGGGAGATTTTCCTGAGCCAGCCCATTCTGCTGGAGCTGGAGGCGCCCCTCAAGATCTGCGGTGAGACCCCTGCCCGGGTCCCTTTGCTTCCCAAAGGTGGCACTGGCCTCCCAAATCCTTGGATCCTTACCTTGAGCCCAACCCTGGCCCAGGGTTCAAGTCTAGCCCCTGCACTCAGTGCTGACCTGGTTTCCTGGGACACAGGTGATATCCATGGCCAGTACTACGACCTTCTGCGGCTGTTTGAATACGGGGGCTTCCCTCCAGAGAGCAACTACCTCTTCCTGGGGGACTATGTAGACCGGGGCAAGCAGTCGCTGGAGACCATCTGCCTGCTCCTGGCCTATAAGATCAAGTACCCAGAGAACTTCTTCCTGCTCCGTGGGAATCACGAGTGTGCCAGCATCAACCGCATCTATGGCTTCTATGATGAGTGTGAGTGCCTTCGTGACCGGGGCTGCCCCAAGCCTGAAGAGCTCTGCCTGCTATCTAATGGGACTCTTGTGTTGGCAGGTGGCAGGGGAGTATCCGTGTGTGACAGGTACCTGCCAGACTGAACAGGGTCCTGCCTGCCTGCCATGGGGTCTGGCACCCAGCAGGGGTGTGGTGAAGGGCTGTTCACATTCTAACACAGGGCCCGTCTGGAGACACTCCCTCTAGCACATCTGTCACCTAAACACTTAGGATGCCCAGCTGGACGGACTCTGTGGCCAGAGGCTCAGATATACTGGACCTGGTTGGTCCTGTTCATAGGGCGGGGGTGGGTGTCAGCCCTGACATCATTCCAGATCAGAACTCTAGGCTTCCGTGGGTGCAGCTGCTGCAGAATCCCTCCTGAAGGCTGGAAGGCAGTGGGGTGGGGGTTCGTTCCTTGCCTTCCATGCTCTTCTCTTCCCAGCTGTGTCTGGGAGGCCCCAGAGGCCTCATCACGAGCTGTCTCCTTCCTCTGCGCAGGCAAGAGACGCTACAATATTAAATTATGGAAAACCTTCACTGACTGCTTCAACTGCCTGCCCATTGCCGCGATCGTGGATGAGAAGATCTTCTGCTGCCATGGAGGTGAGGGTGGCTCTGAGGCACCTGCTTAGGGAATTCATGGGAAGAGAAGCTGGGCAACATCCCCAAGGCTTAGGGAAGAAGCTGTTAGCTGGAGGCCTGTTCTCAGTCACCTGGAATGGCCCTCCCTGCCTGGGGTCTGGGCTTGGATGTCACTTACTGCAGGATGTTTCCCTGCTCCCCAGTGTTAGGTTGCACCCTCTACTGCTGTGGCCTTAGCACTGTGTGTGGAATTTGCTTGTTCTTTCTCCAGGGAGCTCTGCACCCCTGGGGGCAGGGACTGAAAGAGGCAGAAGGTGCAGAGTTCTGCCTGCCTGGGCTCTCAGAAGTCCAGGAAAGGGCCCTGGGGCGGGGGGGCGGACGGGACGACAGAGGCTGACTGGTCAGGGCTTTCTGGAGGGGTCCCCATTTTGAGGCTTGTTTGAGGAAGTGATGTGCCATTTGTGTCCCCCAGGCCTGTCCCCAGACCTGCAGTCCATGGAGCAGATCCGCCGCATCATGCGGCCCACAGATGTGCCCGACCAGGGGCTGTTGTGTGACCTGCTGTGGTCTGACCCTGACAAGGATGTGCAGGGCTGGGGCGAGAATGACCGTGGTGTCTCCTTTACCTTCGGGGCTGAGGTGGTGGCCAAGTTCCTGCATAAGCACGACTTGGACCTCATCTGCCGGGCACACCAGGTGGGCTGGGGCTCTGGCCCAGGAGGGAGTGGGGCCTGGGCAGCCAGCACCTGCTTAATGAACTGCCCTGCCCTCGTCCAGGTGGTAGAAGATGGCTATGAGTTCTTTGCCAAGCGACAGCTGGTGACACTCTTCTCAGCTCCCAACTACTGTGGCGAGTTTGACAATGCAGGCGCCATGATGAGCGTGGACGAGACACTCATGTGCTCTTTCCAGGTGGGGATGGGGAAAGGGTGGGTTGGCCGAATGGCTTAGCCCCATGAGCCTGACCAGTGCTTTTCTCTTTTAGATTCTCAAGCCCGCCGACAAGAACAAGGGGAAATACGGGCAGTTCAGTGGCCTGAACCCTGGCGGCCGGCCCATCACCCCACCCCGTAACTCCGCCAAAGCCAAGAAATAGCGTCCACAAGCCTGCCCTCTGCCCCGGATGGTGGCTTGTACAGAAATCATCACACAGTCATGAGAGTCATGCTGGCCTCCTGGCCCTGCTCATCACAGGGAACGTGGAGCCTTGGTGTATTCTGCTTTTTTAAAAACAAAAACAAAAAACAAATCAATAGCAGCATCCAGTCCCCCAGGGCTCCCTCTGCCTGTGCCTTGGTGGCTACAAGCAGGATCCTGGGGCTGAGGCTGCAGCTCAGGGCAAAGCAGGGCCAGGTTGTGGGTCTCCAGCCTTGCTTGGCCTCGGGGCTGGCAGCTGCATCCTGGGCAACCCATCTGGTCTCTTTAATAAAGGTCAAAGCTGGATCCTTGCCCTGGTCTGTCTCCCTTGTCCCGAACACGGGCCTCGCATCCTACTGCCCAGAGCCACTGGGGAGGGCAGGCTTGCCGGACATGGGGCCGTAGCCAGGGCAGCCCCAACCACAGTAAGTTCCCACAGGGCCTCCTAGAATTTCCAGCCAGGGCCAAAGAATATTGGAAAAAAGCAAGAACAGCAGTCTGCTGGCCACAGCAGAATGCCCAGAGGTAAGCCCAGGATTTGGTGGAGGGACGAGTCATGATTGTCAAAAACCATGGATTGGCACAAGCCAGCAGCCTCACT